CCGGGCCCTGCCACAAGCCCCGTCGCGTAACCCCTCCACGACGACACCTCCGTGCCCAGCACCACATCAACACCGAGATAGTTCTTGAGGAAGGGCTCCACCATTATCCTTGGATTGGCCGTAACAACACACCTCTTCCCGCAGGACGAGAACACGCGCCACGTGTCCGGGTGCAAGTCCTCCGAGTAGAACTTGGGCAGCACGGCGCTGGCTGCCGACTTGATGCCGGACAACTTGGCGCCAGCGAAGGCCGCAAAGATGAGGACACGGATACCAGCGGCCTCCGACACAAAGTGGTAGAGGAAGCCCGCGAGGGGTGAGAGGAGTAAGAGGAAAAGGAGACGTAAAATGCCGCCCAAGTCGAAGGCGACGAGGGCAAAGTATCCGAATGAGCTGCGGCCGATGAGGAGTGTGCCGTCAAGATCAGCCACCACGGTTTGGTCCTCGCGGCCCTTGTGGTCGCATTGGGTGATTGTGGGGATTTTCGCCATTATTATTTTTTTTCTATTTAATTGAAATTTTCTGTGGATGAGGGGTACACTTGGGGAGACTGGGTTTATATTACAGTTAAGTTAAAAAAAAAAAAAGAAGAAGAATGGACTGGAACGCATAAATAATCTTGAATTAACTTCTTTTTTATTTTTATTTATTTATTTATTTATTTATTTTTTGGGTGGTAGGTGCTAAGTGGGGGTTTTTGCATGCAATTGGTAAATAATATCTGGATTACGGCTACGTTTAGTTGAGTAAAGCACTTGATTCGGTTAGGCACGGTGTGTGGTGTATGGAACGTATTAATAATATTTTTAAGTCGGCCGAACCGACCTAGGATTTCCGATTCGGGAAGAACAGATAATAAACTAGCTAGAGTAGAGTTTTTTTTTTTTTTTTTTATTATTATTATTTTTTTTTTTTAACGACAAGCGAAATAAAATTACTCAATATAACGTCTTACAACACGAGGCCTAAATAGGCACTAAAGTTGTCCTAGCAAGCACACATGCATGCTCGAGCAACACCATAATGAAGTTTACAAATCACCTTAAAGAGCCATTTTGGCAATTGCATTACAATCTTTACAAACTAAAACATCAAAAACAAAATCACAATGTCTAAAAGAAGAACACAAAGAATTGAATAACAAAGCCACATTGCCTAGTTGCTCCAGACAGGGCGGACGCAGACCTCAGTAGCATGAGGGGTGCAATTTAATTTCAATGAAAGAGTTGGGGAGTGAGTGGGAATAGTGCCGAATTGAATCCATTCCTATAGGCCCTACCGAGCTATCTCATTTTCTAGCCGAAGTCTTCCGAACATTTTATTCATTTTTGAGCATAATATTTTTATGAATCATTGGTTCGAAAGAGGAGTTATGAAAACTTTAAATATTTAAGTATATTGTTAGTCTTGTGTTAGACAGTAACATTGGGCCTACATATTCTTTTTAATAAATATACATGTTTTTATTAAAATATGTCATAAGTATGCATGTTTGTGCAAATAGTATGATCCGTCAACTCGTCTAACGGTTAGACTATTTCACACAAATATTTGTTTTAAATATAAACACAACAACATATATATTTAGTCAACACGATTGATCTCCAACAATGAAATTTAAAATTATACTTATTTTTAAAATATATTTATATCATAATAAGATTACGGTATCTATTTATATATTGTATACATTTATAAATATCCAAAAAGATATAATTACGTATATATATGTACAAAATATTTTTAAATTGATAAAGGGGCATGTGCCCCTATAGCCCCTTTGTAAATCCTCCTCTGGCTCCAGATCTACAAGTAATCCATGGATTAACTTCAACACTTCCTTGCAACCCACATAGCAAGTGATGCATTTCCACTCCTTATCACATTCCATCACCCAACATAGTTCTGCAATGTAGGTCTCCACTGAACTTTCCCTGAAATCCCTAGATGCATCCCACCATTGCAATCTATGGAGGCGGAGTAGCAGTAGAGTCGACATTGCTAGAAGAGGCGTGCGGCTCGGGCGGCTGATTGGTCCTAGAGCTCGAATCGCAGGCTTCATTAAGATAACGTTGTCGAATAGATTCAGCCAGTGCGATTAACATGGGAGCTGGAGGAGTCATACCAGCGGGCAAAGCAAAAGTCTTCCTTAAGATCTCAGATCGAGCCAGAGTTCTCTCGAGCACCCCCGACCACCACTCGTGCTCGAGTGGTAGGCTAGGATCGCCGCTGAAGCTAGGAGGTACTTTGGGTAAGGCATCCCAGATAAATCCCGGGTCGAGCTGCTCGAAATCGTCCTCGACGATCTTCTCATCGGCCTTCTGTAGAGCAAACTGAAAACAGTCTACCCCAAAGTCTTGAACCTCCTTCAGATATTGCGGTGACTGCACGATGTCAGCCGCCGTTTGTGCATGATACTCTTGGAGGAAGAGTTGTCCAGTTGTGGTAGCCCACATCATTTTTCGAGCTCGAAGAGCAGCAACATCAGCGTAGCGTTTGAGTTGGTGAGCATGGGCAACCCTTTCCTTGGCCAGAGTGGCCTCCAGCTCAGCTAGAGCAGCCTCTGCTTGCGCTCGAGCAGCCCGCCAATGTGAAAGACCAAAAAGAGTATTATCCCCTAAAACTCCGCTCTGAGAAGGTCAACTTTGCTCGAGCGCCATCTCATTTTCCTTCAGGACAGCCTCTCTCTCCACCACCGCCACCTCTTTCACTTCAAGGGCGGCCTCCTTCTCTGCGAGAGCTTTGTCCTTTTTATCGAGTTCTTCATCAAAGGACTTAATCTTGACTTCAAACTCGACTTTCTTCTCTATCTGCGTCTCGCAGAGCTTAGCATTATGCTGCAAGAGGGTAGAATTCTTGTCGTTCATCGAACGACAGACGCCCCCCATCAGCTTGATAGACTTCCCAGAGCTGTCTCGAGCTTCTTTGGCCAAAGGTAAAATTTGGATCAAGCCCTGTAACAACCGAGAATGCAACAATTTAATATATATGTGGCGAGGCAAAACGATAGGGAAAGGTTTGAGCAAACACAGGACGAGCAATACCTGGGCAAGCCACTGTACGAGCTGATCCCCAACCTCCGGCAGAGTGACGGTGGTGCCTTTTAGGTCGTCCTCGAGGAACGCGCCATCGAGGCAGTCGACCACCTCATTCAATGGGGCCGATAGCAGCAAGGAGGACTTAGGAGCCAGAGAATCAGGAGGGAAATGGCTGGTACGCACGCGCTTCCAAACTGTTTCCAGTCGGTCAGTGCGAGGACGTTTTCCGAGGGCCAAATCATGCCCTGGGTTGTCCTGGCCGCTAGACTCGACCATGGCCTTGGTCGAATCAGCGACATCTGGGGTTTTGGATAGTTGGTCGAAAAGGGGTTTTTCGTGTGTTTTGGTTTTGGAGGAGGTATGATTTTCGGAAGAAGACTGGTCTTTGGTTTTAGTACGTGAGGCAGTGGTTTGGCTATTGGTTTTTTGGGAGGATGATTGGTTGTTACTGGGCTTGGGGGGTCGAGCCCTTAGCTCCAGTCTTCTCGGAGCCGGTCGAAGATTTGGTCCCAGTTTTTTTGGGGACGCTGGGAGTTTTGGTGTTGGCTTTCTTGGTAGGTGGTCTAACAATGGTTTTGGATGGAAGGGGGAGCTTGCCGTTCCTGTTGGCGTTGTTGGTGTTGTTGCTTCTGTGATTGTTGTTGCTGTTGCTGAGATTATAGTGGAGGTTGTTGCTGCAGCTCTGGGTGCGGAGGAGTGGTCGAACTCTCTACCTGGTGGGCCTCGTCGCCGGTCGATCCAGAGGTGGACCCGGGGCCAGACTTCTTCTTCAGAGGAGTCTTCCTCAGAGGAATGTTAAATATAGGGACCTCTGCAAGAAGACAACAAGAATATTAAATTCGACATCAATAAGACGTACTTAAACAAAAACAAGGGAACACATAAACACTCGAACTGCCAATGGAGTATGAGAAACGCTCGAGCAAATTAATCGAAGATTACCTGGATCATTTTCAATCCGGATAAGATCGAGGATCTTTTTGGCGGGTGGAGGGCAGACCTTGTGAGTGAGAAGGTCGCAGAAATGAAGAAGGTTCTCATCCTTGAGCAGTTTCTTTGACGCAACGGGTCTGGAATTCCAAGTGTTGATCCATTGGTCGAAGAGAGGGTTTGGAGGAGGAGTTGAAGACTATTGTGAAACTTCCTTGACCCAAAGGGTAGAGGGCCAAGGGAAGAGGACATCAGGCTCGACAAAAATGAACCTATCAATCCATTTAGGGATGTTGGTGGGGATATCATTGATGAAGTGGGCGCCGTTTTGGCTTTTCAGATAAAGACCTCGACCTTGTTTGGAAGGGGCATAACAATAATGGAAGAAGGCGAGGTCGAACCGACCTAGGCGGATGTGGAAAAGGATAAGAAGGTGGTCATAAAACGAATGGCATTTGGGGGGAGTTGGTGTAGAGGAAGCCCGAACCATTGGCAAATTTGGAGCAGCTCGGGGCACAGAGAAAAGCGGAGGCCGAGTTTGATATCGATTTCGAAGAAGGTATAGCAGTCCCGCGGGGGATGATCGTATTTGTCAGAGGGAGAAGACCTATAGAACGCCCAACCGCTGGGGTGGCCGATCTTCCCAGCTTTGTACCAACTATTGGAGAGAGAGGTAGAAGAAGGGCGCTTCGTGGAGGTTTTGCAGGGGTTTTTGGTCGAAAGTTTTTTGGGAGGAGAGTTTGGAGCACCACGTTGGGGAGGAGAAGTAGGAATGATCGAAGATTCTGGGGGAACAGCCTGAGAGGAATTAGGAGGAATGGTCGAAGATGTAGGAAAAGTAGGTTCAGAAGAAGTACGGACATTGACCTCGTCCTTCTCTGGCTCATCTAACGAGCCAAAGGCAGGTCGGCGATGGCAGAGGGGAATGTTGTCCATAGTATCCCCGGAATTGGGAGAGGAAACACGGGCTGTAAAGACAATGGTAGGAACAGTCTTGCCGGGGTGAAGAATGGAGAGAGGAATAGCTTCGAGAGCAGAGGGCAGTATTTGAACTGAATCGGAGGAAGTGGTCGAAGAAGGAGACGGAGGTGCAGAATCTGGAAAAAGCAAAACAAAAACGAAATCAAAAAGGGAAGAGCTTTCGAAAAAGGTGAGACTTTCAAAACTAGGGTTTTATGGGGAGGCAATTTTGAAGAAATTAAAGATGGAGAGTAGAAATTTCAGAAGATTTTTTAAGAGAGGAGCAAAATTCACAACAATTAACAGATAAATCACAATATTCAGAGCACAAATTCAAAATAAAACACGCAAATCCAGAAAGTTCAACAAGTAAATTCGGGATACCCAACGCAAAATAATTCAAAGAACAGGCAAATTTGAAACACAAGAAATGTAAATTCAGGCGAGGAACAACTTACTAATAGTCGCAGATGAGGAAATCAAGAGAGGCGGAAGACTGCAAGAGAAATCGCCGAGAAGGAGAGCAAGGTTTGCAGGAAAAGCCCAGAGCACAGAGAGTTCGA